TTGAGTCGAGAATGGTCCTCGACCAAATCCACCAGCTACAAGAATACCACTTGTTGCATTCATTGACCATTTCACTACACGATGATTATCAGAGTCGACAACAAATAAATCTCCACTATCATCTACCCATACACCACGTGGACCATTAAGATGAGTAAGATTCGAACCAGATATACCAGTACCAGCTACAACAATTCCTGATGCACTATTTTGAACCCATTTTGTTACACGATGGTTTGCATAATCTGAAACAAATAAAGTACCACTTGAATCTACATAGAGACCATAACTTGCTGCTATTGCGTTATATAATCCAGGAGCACCATATGCCCCGATTCCTGCTACAGTTGTTCCTGCTACTGTTCCTGGATTGAGTGACCAAATTTGAACACGATAGTTGTTCATTGCATAATAATAGCAATAAGTTGGTGGACAATATGGACCAGTATCCGATAAGTATATGTTATTTGTTGCTTGATCAATAAAAAGTGCATTAATGAGACCAATTTGACTTAGTGTTGAACCACCAGTGTTAATTGTTTGATTTGTCATAGGTATGATAACGTTAGCCGATGTGGCTAACGTTGTGTTTCCTGAGAATTTGTAGACATGAATGCTAGAATCACTGACATAGATATTATTATAAGCATCTATTGCTACACCATATGGATTTCCTGTGAGATTGGAAACTACAGTATTTGAGTCTGTGTTGTAGATGGCTTTTGAACAACTGCCAAGTGGTGGGGTAACGGATGCTGAAAGATTATGTAAATTTAAGTTAAGGAAAATATTTATGCTATGGTAAGTAGAAATCTACTGAATGAAGTACTTTCCAGATCGCGACACTCATTGAGCAACTCCTTGTTAATTATGGAAGAAAAGCGTTATTAATACTAAATGTGAGTAACATATAAATGTGGAAAGTATTGTTAACACGTCTTTGGAAATTTTATTTGAGTATGTGTTTGGTCGAGTGAAAGATGTCAGAAGACATTTCGTTTTCGATATTTTCATGAGTGTTTAAAAGTTTTTCGGAGAGTAAAATTGTTCGAATACAAAAAGTATTTTCATTGTACTGACAAAAAAACAAGGAACTGATATACATACGTGTAATAGGAGGTGCGGTGGTCGTTGTGATACCTAGAATGAAATCATACTTATAATTACGTTTCGCTCTCCACTACCTAATATACCTGTACATGAACTACTTGATACAAGATTGATCTTTTGAATACGCATACCATTATAATCAGAAACGTATAGATTTCCCAGTGAATCCATCGCCATACTATGAGCATTTATACTGAAGCCACTGTTATAAGATCCATCAAAAATTGTAATACCAACATTATTTCCAGGTGTAAATTGTTGAATACGTTGATTACCTGCATCGAGAATAAACATGTTACCATAACCATCCATGATAATTGCAGTTGGACTATTCAGTTGAGTCGAGAATGGTCCTCGACCAAATCCACCAGCTACAAGAATACCACTTGTTGCATTCATTGACCATTTCACTACACGATGATTATCAGAGTCGACAACAAATAAATCTCCACTATCA